GGGATTTAGTATTTCTACTATAGTTCTTACATTTTCATATTGAATTTTCAATAGACAGTCCGTTTTTTCAATTTCATTTGTAATAAGCTCATTAACCAATAGATTTTGAAAAAACTTTGCCATTTTATCATTTTGAATAATTTAATATTAAAATTGCATACCATTGGGGGCTGCTCAAATAATTTTACTATTTCATTTATCTTTTAATATTTTTAATTAATTTTGTAGTAAATTTCAAAATTGAAATTATTTTTAATTTATTTAAATGTAAATATGAAAAACATTAACAATTTTTAATAATTTTGAAAAAATAAACAAATTTTCAATTACAATCTCACAATTACACAATTTTATATAATTCTTTACAATTACATACATGCTTAAAAATTTTTTGCTTGTATTACAATTTTTGTGTATAATTACAAATAAATTTTTTTTTCACCTACACATGTAATTTAAATAAATAAATAAAAATTGGGCCAAATGATTAAATTTTCCGTTCATTCGATTAAAAGATGAATCATATATGTAGTTCTAGCTGTCTATTCCTGAATTAATTTCTTTACTTCATTAATTGGAAGCAAAAAATAAAAATTTAAAAAAAAAAAAATTTATTTACAATTAATTACCAAAATTTGTAATTTTTTTTTTTTCCGTTTCTCTTCAAAGAGTTTGAAAACGATTCAATATACTGTTATACAAACATGTATAAAAGTAATTTTGTTTACTACTTAAAAATAAAGATTTTTGTTTATAAATAAAATAAATTGAATTATTTTCGATTTCATTAATATTTTTCTAAACAGTATAAATGGCAAATAATTCAAACAAAATTCTCGTACCTCTCAGAATTACAAAATATCTCTGTACAAACGTATAAGTATATTATAAATACACACCTGAGTATAAATTTATCGTGGAAATTTTTCTGATTATTTGAATACAAAATTTTTTGCTTTAACACAATAACATTATAGTAGTTTTAGAAATGGTGCTATACTTAGTAATTCGTAATACTAGAATTCTAAAAAAATCTTCAACAATGGTTATAGAGTATAAGTATACGCCATTGATGTTTACATTGTTGAAAATTCAACATGCATTTTCAATTCATTTATTTATTAACATTATTATTACACTATTTGACAAAATTCGGATTGATATAATTAGGATTTTCCGCCTAAAATCAATGACACAAACCAAATCACAATTCGGTAAAACAAAATTCGACTACAGTCTGCGTAGGCCGCGTATTATCAAATAATCCATTTGAAAATTTCAATTGATATGTTTTAGTTAGAAAAGAAAATTTTGTTTAAAAAAAAATAAATTATATAAAGACATTCAAGTTCATGTGTGCTGCATTCAAAGCGTATATAGTCAAGTGTATTCTTTGGGCTGTTCTTTATCTATGTTTATAATTATCCCAAATCAAATTTATAAAAGACTGTCAAAGAGTATTTCCTAAAACATTATTCTAATCCAAATATATTTAGAAATTCCCTTAAACCAAATGATTCAGATATCTTTTAAACAGTAACATTGTAGCACTAAAAATATAGATCTCCGATAGCTTAACTCTGCTTATGCTATATAAATGTAACTATAGGAATGTCTGGATTTAGACAAGTAAAGAACGATAAAAATGAAAGGGCACGATTTTTAATGATTATAAACGACCAACTACTAAATTTAATATATGAGATTTATACGAGATTTATACGAGATTATATAAGGGTCTCACAAACAGAGTGGCGTAAGCCACAAATAAAAAAAATTTTTTTTTTGCTGCAATCGGTTATGTGCATCTTCTAGAATCAGTGATATTAGTTTCCAGTTTCGAAATAGTTTTTTTTATTTTAATTTTTCACAAAAGTACTTTTGCTTTTGTAAAAATTTTCTGATTTTTTAAAAGCAAGGTTGCATAACCCACATTGTGCCTTACGCCACTCTGCATCTGAGCCCCTCCTATATGTAACTTAATAATTTATTTTGAAAATGACCCATGTCCAAATTCGAGTACAATCTCAAAAATATTCTACAGTCCCAATAATTATAATGTTAATGTAGTTAAAATTAACAATTATAAAGTTACTTAGTACAAATTATGCACAAACATACAAAATATAGATTATTATTACCAATTATCCAGATTTCTAAATTAATTCAAAAAAATGCAAACCCTACAAAATATCTTAATTGCAATAAAAATACACTTAGAGCACCTTCAAAATAAACTATTCAACTATATTTATATACGAAATTTTATTTATTTATTCTTGGACTCCATTCGTAACCTCTTCTCTACTCTATGCCACATAAAAATGTGTTATTATTCAAAGCAAAAGAAAAAACTATGAAATTTTTTAAAGAAAAAATTTTTTTTTATTTGTATTTTCCGGGACCATAATATAGAAAAACTATTTTCACATACACATGTACATATAAACATATAAATATTAAACTTAATATAAAATTATTAAAATGCCGCCATCATTAATATGAATGAAAACTAATTCTGAAAATGTGATTATATTCAGACATAAACTTTCATCACTCACAAACTTGATATGTTTTTTAAATAAATTGTAACAAACATTCGTACATACATAGCTATTTTATCAATTTGGAATTCAGAATGCGAATAATTTTTTTTTTCTTTATAAGCACGGTGCCATCATTATTCTTTACATAAAAAAAAAAAAATTATTATACATCCTTTTTATCAAATTATTTTTTTGAATTCCTTGCTTTAGCAAGGATATTGAAGAGAATTTTTTTTATCAAGATTTCATAATCTAATTGGTATTTCAATGTACGATATAAAATCGTTGTTAATTTAATTTTTTTTTGAGTGATAGAAAAAAAAAACACGAAGAAATTTCAATTGCACTAAAATTTCAATTTTTGTTTTGTTTTTTTGTTTTTTTACTATGACCCAATTCTTGTATTTATGTGCATATGTGTATAAATGTATACATATATAAAAGTTGGCAGTTTCAGAGATGAAATATTGAATACAATTGTACTAAAATCAGAATATTAGAAGGAATCAATTGAGGCGACTTGAGGATAATAATTGAAAAGAATTAAGGTTTTTTCTTTTTGTATAAAATTCTGAAATTTGTAAATTTCTAAATTTATTTTATTCAGAAGAATACAAAATATTTGAAGAATATCATCTTAGGGGACACACCTATAGAATATGGTCATTTATTGTGGAAATTTTTATGTTGAAGAGGTCTCAATAATCGATTATTTTCTCAATCTTAGATTATTTAGTAGAAAACAAAATCAAAATTTTCTAATAACAAATAATGAGCTCAGCAGCATAGTGCCTTTACCCTAACTTTAGAAATTTAGATAAAATTAAGTCTCGAATTTAATTTTATCGACAAAATAAGTCAAATATTACCGATATTCCGCTATTATTTTGAACTAAACCAAAAATTTAATTTTCTTCAGGGCAAAACTGGTCTAACTCAAATATTCTGGCAAAAAAATTTGGGAATAAATATTAGACAACTATAATTTTGAGCCCCTCAATAATGAGCTTATTTTTTGAGTCAAATTAAAATATTTACAAATTGAGTATAGAAATGCACTAATAATAGCACAAATGTTCCAGTATTAAATTAAAAGGTAAGACAAATAATTATATTTTAAGATTTTAGTGGCTTTCAAAACAAATTTTATAACATGTATAATTTAAACTGTAATACATTCAGATCAACACATTTAAATTATATTATATACAATGTTATACTTAAGATGTGCATGTGTTTATTAATAATTTTAGCATTTTATTATTTTTAAAATTTAAATTTTAAATTTGAATTATAAATTTCCTCATATTTTTTCGAATTTTCTCTTATACATATAGTAAGACTGCCGCAATCCAAATTCGTGTATAAATCCAAAATTTTGCATTTCCGCTTATTTGCACTAACAGTTTTGGGTACAGCTTGGATATTTAATTTTAAAGTATGCTAATACGAAACGTTGAAAAATACTACTATAGTTAGGCTAGAAAGTACTATAGACACAGTTCAATATTTAATTTGTCTCTGATATTTTTGTTTTTCTTTGGTACAATCTTCATAGACTCATTTTAATATCATTTTTTATACATAAATTCAAGTTAATTTTAAGCCTATGTATAATAAATCTCTATATTGACTTCATTACCATAGCAATTTTTCTAATAAAATTTTAATGAATTTTTTCTATTGAAAATAAAAACAAAAAAAAAAAGCAAAAACAAAGTACAATTAAATTTTCATTGCAAATCAACAACATCCCTGAATTTATATTATATCCTATATTTTTATAGATACATAAGAAATATATTAATGTATGTATATTCGTGTATTCATTATGTTGGGATTAAACTATATTTTATTTATTAATTTTTGTTTTTTTGCTTTTGTTATAATTCTATATTTATGTATAAATTTTATTAAAATATAAGCAAAATATCACACATAATTCATGTATATAAATTATATTATTATGTATAGATAAATATATATATATATTTATTATATATTACCATATGAAATATAGTTGCATATAATAGCCATTTATGTACGTATGTATGTATATAAATTACCTTTGAAAAATTCGATTTTTTTCACTTGTTTTTTGTTTTTTAATAATAATAATTTTAATAGAATTTTGCGTCACAATAAAAGGGTATTCATACATAATATCCTTTTTAAGAATTTAATCCTTTTTTATATACATACGTATATACATACATATTTTTACATATTTTCATATATTTTGGAATTAAATTAAAAAAATAATCTTGTATTTAAAAAAAGTACCTTTAGAAAATATTTTGTTTGGTTTAAAAAATTTAAAAAAAAATATTTGCATAAACTTTAATGTGTATGTATGTAGAAATATGTATATGTACATAAAATGTATATATATATATATATAGGTACATGTATTTTATAAAGAAGAATTAAAAAATTTTCATATTATTCACCCACCTACTTTAATTTTATCGGCTTTTAAAAGTGAAAACTTTAAATTTTCCTTTTATTCCTTTTTAATCCTAAACCACAATTAATTGACTTGTTAGCAGAAATATTTTACATTAAAAGGGAAAACAATAAGAAAGGAAAAGGCGAAAAAAAATTTTTACAAAGAAAAAAAAAAACAAAACCAAAAATGGTAATTTTATTTTTTTTCTGAAATTGTTATTCTTTTTTTATTTTTTTTTTTAATTTTTTTCAAAATTTACATATAACTTTGTTTAAAAACGAGTTGCTTGTTTATTTTTTTCTTGGAAAATTCGTAAATATATAAAAAAAAACAAAAAAGGGAATTAAAAAGCTACACTAACAAATTTTATATTAAAAAAAAAAAACAAAGAATTTTTTTTTTATCACCCGACCGCTTTTTCTTTTTTTTTTTTAATTTATAATTTTTAGTTTAGTATTTTTTTTTTTCAACTCTCTACAAATCTTACTACAGCAATAACACATTAAACATATTATGCACTTTCCTTTCGAATGACGACACTAAACTGACATTTGATTTAATCAAACATTATGTTATTTGATAAATTTCCCATTCATAATAATTTGGAGGGAAATATTCTCATTATTTTCATAATTATAGAGAAAAGCTAAATTGAAAATTTTCTTGAAAAGCTTTCCTATGTGTTGTATTTCAAAATCGCTTTTGATGTAAAAAGGAAAATTTATTAAAGGAAAATTTCGGAAATTTTTTTGGGAAAAATTGGAATAAACGGTAAAATATTACAAAACCCATTTTCTTTTTAGAGCTTATCGTGAGTTTTCTTTTATTTTGAACGCAGCAAAATAATTGATATGGACTATTATATGGCTTTTTAAACTAATAATATGGTGACATCTATTGGGAATTTTTCCAAATATTTTTTCTAATTTAACAGTTAATTTTTTTTAATAATAATATAAAATATAATATAAAACAAAAATAATGTTATTAACATAGTTTTAAACAAAGAAATATAATTTATTTCGCAGAAGAGTAGAACAGATGGATGGCATAGGTAAAATTACCTAATCAAAGATGACATATGGGTATCTTGGATTCTAGCAGATAAAAACATGAATATAATATGTTTTTGTAAATTGAAATATGTAGTTTAGTTACTAAATTTATTACCCAAGAGAAATAGATTAATTTTTCAAATGTTAAAAATTCTTATTCGTCAAGAAACACAAATGCAGTCTTAAATTTTTATTTAAAATTAACAGTTTATAGTCCTGTTGTAGTCCTGATTATGAATACCTAACAAAACATGCAAATAACTCAAAAACTAAACTCCTGGAATAAAATTTTTTCCATATAACTCAATAAATAAATGAATTTTACTATCGAAACAATTCGGATCCGGAATGCTTTTTATCACAACGAATGTAGCCAAATATAATTTATATATAGTACCAATTAAAAACGCTTGGAGAACTTTAAATTTTTTGTCTGATGACATAGTCGTTAGATCAATATAAAATTTAACTTTTCAAATATAACTATATACTATTTCTACGAGTATTCCGTCAAAAGTTTGAGAATTCTGCATAATTCAGATTTACATGTGTTTCTCAATTGTATCCGAAAAAAAATAAGAGCAAAATGTTGGATTTTTTCGAAAAATTTTTCTTTTTTTTTTTTGTACTTTTCATCTTGTTTTAATTAAGTTTTGCAATTCTGAATTTCAAACAAAAATATCACAAAAACTCTTATAAAAGTAGGATGTAATGGCAGTTAGTAACTTAAATACTAAAATTAAATTGAATTTCTAGTTATTAGAATTATCATTGCCTTAACATCTAGAATTAAGTACAGCATATAATTATTATAAGCTAATCTAATCTGGCATTTTTTGGTAATTTTATGAACTAGAAACAATAACTTAAATTTTAATTTAAATTCCAATAGGTTTTAATTATATCGGCCGCTTTTTCAGCTATCATTATCACAATTGCATTAGTATGTCCTGCTGGTATTACTGGAATTATAGAAGCATCTACAACTCTTAAATTATGTATTCCATAAACTTGTAGATCTGGATTTACAACAGCATCAGAATCGTCTTTTGGACCCATTTTACATGTACCTACTTGATGCTGGAGACTTGTTCCAATCTGACGTATACAACATTTCCAATAATCATCACTTGCAAATATTTCATTTTCGCATCCAGCATATGGCACTTGATGAAATTCTGTTCCGTACTTTTTAAAATGCTTTGAATTAGAAAGTTTTAAAATCTAAAAATGAAAAATTTTTTGGTTTTGCAAAATATTTTGGCCTAAAATTGCTGTAAAAATACTAACAAATTTAATACCATCAATCATTGCTTGCATATCTTCTTCATTCATAAAATAATTTGGTAACATTTTTGGCCACCGGAAAGGGCTTTTGCTTCTCAATAAAACTCTACCGCGACTCTTTGGATTTAATAATACAGGAACCATACTAAACGCGTGCTTTATCCGAATTGTCAAAATTTAAAATAATCTGGAAATAACCCATGAATTTGAAATTTTCTTACCTTCCCCACAATGTCACCGTAAACTTTGTCAAAAAATTCTTTAGTTATACCCAAAACATACCGCATACTACCAGATAAATCATTGTTTACGCTGCCAGCTCCAAGAACTATTTCCATATTGGTATAATCAAAATCTGGACAAATAATATTAAGAAAACTAATTAAAAAGAAGAATATCAACTTCAAATACTCTATAATTACCAACTTTTGCATTTGGAGTTCTAATAAAAGCATAGGCTTCTGCCCCACCTGGAACTGTGAATTTTCCTTTACCCAACATAATATATTGAAAAACATCAATGGGATTACGAACTTCTGATTCCAAAATTGTAATAGATTGGTTAACTAAAAATGTTAACCCGGGTAAAGTGGTGTGATCTTGAAGATTGTAACCAACCATTGAATCTTGAATTACACTTATATTAAATTCAGCCAAATGATCTTTAGGGCCAACTCCAGAAAGCATTAAAAGCTGTGGAGATACTATCGAACCAGCTGATAAAATAACTTCTTTTCTAGCTCGTATAAAAAATTTTTGATTATTTTTTATAAATTTTACACCTTCAGTCGCCCTTGTAACAGGATTAATTTCAATTTTTGTAACAAATGTTTTCATTGACAAAAATAGGTTTTTTCGATTTTTTATTGGTCTTATGAATGCTTTACTTGTACTACATCGACGGCCACCTCTTAAATTTGCTTGTACTGGACTAAAACCCATAATTTGTTCCCCATTCGGATCAGTAATATTGTATCCCATATCAATTCCAGCTTTCAAGAAAGCACCGACTAATTTAGTTCTATATGGTGGAAACATAACATCAAGCGGTCCATTGATTCCATGATATTTTGAATATTGTAAATCAGGAATTTTAATATTTTCAGATTTTTTAAAATATGGTAAGACTTCATCATAACTCCAACCGTTATTACCAATTTTTGACCAATTATCATAATCTTTTTTGTGTCCCCTATTATATAGCATATAATTAATAAGACTTGTTCCACCAATACCTTTACCTTTGGGCCAAAAACAAACACCATATTCTAAAGCATTACATGCATTAGGAGTTGGCTCTGATCTATAACCCCAATTATAACGTGTAATACTTGTTAATGCAGCAGTTAATGGTACATCACTTAAAAATGTTTCTTGATCACCAGCTTCCAAAAGAAGAACAGTTATATTGGAAATTTCACTTAATCTATTTGCTAATACTGCCCCGGCACTACCACCTCCAACTATTACAAAATCATATTCTGGATAAAATACATTTGTATCGGGTAATTTTGTATGAAGTATTGTAGTTTCAATATCACGTAAAATATCTACTAGAATCTGACATGATCCTAACGGAATTTTTGTTAATAAACTAAAAGTTATTATTGTGGTAATCAAAATAAATAAATTTTTAAATTGATTCATATTTTATTTGGTTACCATTCTATTAATGACAATTTTTTATATACAAGAAATTCATTGTAGTATTGATTATCAAAATCTGAAATTCAAAACAGAAATTTTTATTGTCCAGAATTGATTTTTTTAAAAGAATTCAAAAATTTTTTCTTTAAGCATATTCTCACGATAAAAAATGACTCCTTGACTATTATAGAATAATCAAGTACGCATCAAGTTACGTTACAACATTCTTATGTTTCTCTTACCTCAAAGAAGTTCTAACAAATGATATCTTAACGAATTCCTTAAACAATATAAATTTCTTAGAACCTTGGCTGCACTTTTTACCCTAAAGTATGTGCTGTAATCAGAAAACCAATTTGTTAACTGTAGAACCACGACCCTTAAGGTTGCTGATGCTCACAGAATTCATATCACAAAATTTACGGGCAGCTCAACTTTACCAAAATTTATTTCTATTTGAAATATACCCAGCCGTAGCATTGCTTATAAAAAGAATCTCTTTCGGCTCTTCCCTACCAATAAAATCATTTAATTTATGTTGTGATATCATGAAATTCTTAACACCATTTGCATACGAGATAAACATCAAACTCAATTTTACTGAATAATTTAATTGGATTTTTAATATACGTGAGTTCTAGCACATTGCACTATAATGAGTCTTATATATAAATAAGCTTTAAATTGAACAAAATTGTTGAGTTGAGTTTAAGTTTGTCAACCACCACATAATTACAATAATGATATCATTTGGTTGTTTAATATTTTAAGAACGAATTCAAACTTATTAAATAAATTAGCATGCTCAATGACTTCATTTTGTTAATTTTTTTTTAATTTGTTGAAAGAATTAGAAGGGTGAAGAAACAATTAAATATTATTCTGCATCCCCTTTGCAAATAATTATTTTTTGTTAAAGTCTCTAATTAACACTAGCATGATAATAATTTGTATAACAATAAGCTTTTAACAATACTTGAATATTAATTGAAAAAGCTAATGCAATTTTAAAATATTTTATTAAATAATACAAGAAAATTAAATTGCAAATGTATATACAGGGTGTTCGAGCCTAGGTCGTATTCCTGAAGCAGAGTGATTAAATGCGTCTAGACTAGTTGTAAAACAATTAAATTAGATTAGCCTTGCCTATTCCCCAGTTATAAACAAAAATGTAAGAATTTGATGGTTTTCCGAAATACCAGTTTTGAAACCCTGCTTCGCTAGTACGGTCGAGTCTCCGACAACCTGTATAATGTCGTATTCATACGGTAAAAAAGGAGAGTAAAATATGACATTTAATTTTTAATTATTTTAGTTGTATTTTATACTTATGCGAATGAACCGGTGCACTACACAAAACTGGAGGGTCTGCGTACAATTTAATTTTACGGTAAGACAGTAGAAAGGAAAACAGAGATGAAATATACTTAGGCGTTGTATTTGATAACAAGCTTTTTTGGCGAAGACACAAGGAAGTGGCAAGGCCAAAGGCTACCAGGACGCTCATGGTGTGCAGGGCCGTCTCAGGTAGGACGTTGTAATTCTCTCCGTCTATAGTGAGATAGATATATGTTTATCATGATCTCGGTACAACTCCTAATATATGGTACGGTTGCCAGTGAAAAAAAATGCATTTGAAACTTTTAGAAGGGAAATGGAACGTTTGTAGACACTTGCATGCATCTGCATTATTGGAGATGTCTTCCGCGATATAACGACCAGAGACTATAGGAGAAATTCTGGGGAACTACATACTCATTACAGAGTGGATGCCGAGGGGGTGTTGGTAAGGCGTATCCCACACCTAGTGAGTGGTTTCTTTATTTCGGTCACAGTGTTTGTTCAATCTACAATACTTGTAAATAAAATAACACAATAATCAATAACATATACCATTGAATTGAAAAGACATATAAAATTTGAACCTTAATGCGTACCTGTACCTCTTGTTAATGAAAACATAAATTTAAAATATACTCTGCAAAACTCCACTAAATGAAAATATAAAAGTGCATACAAAACAAATTCTTTTGACTAATTTCACGTGGGGATCGAAAAGGTAACGATTTTATTAAATTTGTAATGGACATTTTTTTTCCTTGTTTGTTTGTTTTGTTTGTTTTTTCAACGTCATTGAAATATGTAAGTACGTAGATAGTAAAATATTCAACAGATTTGTTTTCAATGAAAAAAGAGTAAAAGTTTAAAGAAAAATATAAATTAAAAAGGAATGTGGTGAAAAAATTAGGTCAAGTCCAATATGTACAACCATTGCTTACCATACGGAAATTATTTTTGTTTACAAACAAAAATTTATGGAGCAGCGTATAACATTAAAAATTGGTAATCGAAACGAATATTTGATCGTAGGACTTTGTGTAGACATATGACATTGGTTATGGAGGTAATTGTAAATGAAAAAAAAAAAAACGATTTATTTAAAAAATAATATTTAAATGTCATTGATCAAGGATATTCCCTGAAATATTTTAGAAAGATATTCAAGGTATTTGCGTATAAATCAACTGAAAATTGGATTTACAAGTTTTTTCAATTAATTTCAATATTTTGCTTTAACTATAAGGAATCAAAAATTTTTTACATTAAATTTTTAGCACGAGAATTGATTTCTTATAAAAAATATTTTTGTGAGTAAGATTGGTCATAACTAATTATATTTCAATAATAATCAATAATGAGAGGTCGTTGCACAATCACACATAAATATAAACCAATTTACTTATTTAATTATTGCAATATTAAAATAATTATCAACTTTCAATAAAAAATGATTATTTCAGAGGCTCAGAGAAATATTGGAAAAATATTTTTGTAAAATTATTTTGATCTGATTTTTTGATTATACACGAATTATGATTGTATGTTTTTTGAGTTCATATCATTATTGAGAGGCTTCAATAATAAATTTATATGAGAAATAATCATAAATAATTATTTCTTATGTAAAATATAAAAATTCGACTCTCTTCTGTTTTCAATTAATATATTACTTGCATTCTTTTGTAATTTTGTGGACTATACATAAAGGAATTATTTCAATGTAAATGTGAGCTAATTATACAAATTGGGTAGTAGTAAGGAAGTCGGAACGCTTCCAACAGATTCCCATTTATTAAAATTAATTTCACGAATCTTATGATCAGACAAATGTTAAAATCGCATTTGCAGTTCTAACAAAGATCTGCAATGACAGCACATTTTTATATTTTGCTGCAAAAAGCATTCCGTTTTTGTTATAGAAGTGCAAAAGATCTTCTGTCAAATCGACAGTATAAAATTTTTTTCTGCTTTTATATTCATAACCTCAATTAAAATAGAAATAAATTAGCAAAAAATATAAATCAAGCTTTTGACATGATATAGCTTTCGTTATCAGCTCTACGCTTTAATAGTTCTATTGCAGTGATATTTTAATTAATAAGATATCTCGCAGTCAGAATTTTATACCTTACAATTTAACAGTTCTTTTCTGTCCATAAGTTTAGAACAGTATAAATTATATTGATAAAATTTGCGTAGAACAGTATTGGTAAAATTCGAATTCTTAAAAATTTTTTTTGGATTGCCGCTTAAATATGGTGGATATTTTTAAATAATCACCATATTCCGTTCCGATTTGACTTGTGATTTTGCAAAATTTACTAAGCTTTAAACTATTTAATTTAGCACTAATTTTTTTAATTTTATAAACTTACTTACATAGCAAAAAATAAATTTATTAAAATTTATTCATATAAAATTTTGATTTTCAATATTATCCACGACGGTATATGAAAACTTCTATAAAATGTTTATAATTTTCATAAATTTTTTTCATTAATAAAATATAAAAATTCTTAATAATTTTTCTGTACAAAAATAATGCGAATAAAATAAAAAATTACATCCGGTAATTGCCTTATTATAAACAATATAAAAATTTTATAATTTTTTTTACCCGAAATTTACAAACAGTTTCTTAAAAGATTAGTTAAGAACTGAACGAAATTGATAACAGTATTTTAAAAGAAAAAATCTACAACAACAATAAACACAAAACGAAGCTTTCTGTTTTGATCAAAAAATATTTTTTTGATTATTTTCAACCCCACTTAAAAATCACATTTAATTGAACTTGCATTACGTATTATTAACAATAATTTACATTAAACTGTTATATTGTATATACGTAAACATTCTTCATAACACACATTTTTATTTTTTTTTATTTTATAATTTTTTATTTATTCTACTGATTTCTTCTTCCAACAATAGCAATATTCATTTTGTATTCTTAGTTAATACTAATTTTAGGATTGAGTTTTTATTTTAAATTATAAAATTCTAAAAAAAATTTTTTAAAACTAGTATACAAAATATATTTTTTCGCGAAAATATTAAAATTAGGTTCTGTTTCAAAAAAAAAATATTCAAGTCAAATGTGGGTGTTCAATTTTTTCAATATTATCAATTTAGAAGTACGAGTAATAAGAAACATTTTGCATACATATAGGCTATTGATGACTAAGTAAAGAAATGAATAGTGTTAGAATATCTGACAAAAAAATACTTAGGAATGACTCTACATGTCAAACACAGATGGAATGAATATCTATGAATTTGTGCGAAGCAAACGTTAATATGCGTAACAAATACAAATTTCCCAGGCAAAGTTCTTCATAATATGGTGGGCGCTCCCTTATATTTGCGTAATAGTGATATTCTCACTAAATATTTGTTGGATTTAGGTGTCTCTGAAGTAAGTTATGAAATAAGAAACTGTGTCGTGAAAGATAGGATGCATTTTGAGCTGCATATAAATAGGACGCATTTTGAGCTCGACTTATGAAGGAGGGGTTTCGGATAGAAACACTGAAATTTCTGTGTCTTCCGTCATGGAATCTAGACACAAAAACACGATAGAGTAAAACTAATGGTTAGTTAGTTATTTTAATTTTAAGAATTTATGATCACCCAGGTGCGTGTTAGGTTTGTTTAAAATCGCCCACTATGAGCAAATCGAATGACAATTCTACTTTGTTTCGCCCATCTTTGTCTTTTAATGATTTTCAAGACTTTTTCGCAAGCAAATGTTATTAAATAAAATTACAATTAATGATTTGATAAAAATTATATTTGTATAACTTTTAAGTGTTTAAGAAAATTCCGAATTTATTAATAAATTTTTTAAAGAGGAAGAATTAAATTATACAATAGAATCATTCACAATATAACAATATAAAAAAAATTAAATTTAATAATAATAATTCATATTATTTTTTAATAAATATTTTTAAAAAATAATGAAATTTTCTTTAATAAAATTTGAATGGTTATAATTTTCACACCTTTTTGAATTAGCGGAAACTAGCAAAATATTTATATACTACTCTTACTACTTAAATAAAATAGTAAATACTTAATTTTCATTTCATATTAACGGTTTTTTTACTTTTTTGCAAAAATATCATGAACTTGTACTCTACTACTATTATTCTTCTTCTTTTTCTATTCAAATTTTGACAATATTAAAACAGTGCAGGATTAAGGGAATTTAAGATTTGACGGAAGACGGAAAATATGTAAATTTTGAATGAAATTTTAAATTTAAATATTGTAATATGAAGTGATGATTTTTAAAATTATTATTTCCATTAAAAATTTGCACGTCATTTAAAACTAAAAAGTAGGGTAAGAATTTTGAAAATAATTAAATATTTTTATTTATTTAACTTTAAAATTACTTTATAGTACAATTGGGCTGCATCGTACAGAGACTCGTTAATTACTCGTACCATATCAACAAAATTTTATTAAAGTATTTATTTTACATCTAGTATAACATATTTACATAATAATTATAACAACTGTAAGCAACAATTAAAGTAAAATAACTTTATTTACATGAAATGTCTTTAATTATTAATGTCAGTTTGATTAACACATATAATATGAAAGTTTTCTCTTAATTATACATCTTGTAAATAAAATATTTTCCTATATACATATATACTGGTATAATGTATTTCGTACAGTATATCAGTAGTATTGAAATTTCAATATATATCAAATTATAAATTATAATAGAAACAAGAGCTTTTTTTATTCATTTACTAACTCTTTAACTAGCTCGTTTAATTCAGAATATATATAACAAATTAATTTAATTCGAAATGAAATATATCACATCAATTATACGTATTGCTTTTACATGCAAGGAACAGTAATATTATGGAACTACTCTAGGAAAAGTTTGAATTTGAAATGTTATATTTGTTAGAGTAGTTAAGAGCAGTTCGTAAATAATGCCCAGTTTGCGTATGAAAATTTTATTATATAGCTGCAAAATCTAATCAACATACTGAAGACTTGCTGTTTGTGGATATTTTGTTTCATTTTTAGAATGTGAAGCCATCTGCCACATTAAAAGTGCAAACATAGCTGTACGGCTCTTAATAACCACGTTGTTTATATAGATTCACAGAGTGTTATACATTTAATGTTTTATACATTTATATTATAGCCCTCAAATGTACACATTTATTATATAGTAAAACTATAAAGTTATAAAAGTTTAAGGAGTATTTGGTTTCCTCACAAATGTGTAAGCGTACGGCACTGTTGTACTCGTATTTTCAATTTATTCAGTTTATAAAAAAAACTATTATCTAACAATAATGTAAATATTAAGAATAAAAAATTATAAGGTATAGGCGTATAACTTTACTCTCTATATTCATTCATTTCGCTATTATCTCTTTCATTCCAAAGCGAACTTTATGTCTTTAATATACAAAAAACCACATGCTCTTTCTTCAATCTTGAATGCAATTTATTATTATATTCAACCTTGTCAGTTATCAGTTGCCACTCTTATTGTTGTTGTGATATACATAACGTACATACACATTGTATTTTAATAAGTATCGTAAAAGCCACACTAAATGCATTTAAATAAAGAGTGGTAGTAGTTGGTAAACGAGTGATTAAAATAAAAGAAATAAAAAAAACAATATTAAATAAAGTTATAAAGAGAGAAGAGCGTCGTTTACTTGAAGAAATACTCAAGTTCAAGGTCACTGTTACTAACATAATAAACTTTAAAAAATTATGATCATGTTTACTTCTTTATTACACCACAATGTTTGTGTATTCAAAATTAATAAACAATAACATGTTTTCATATTTAGAAGAGAAGTACAATTAATTCAAAATAAAGAGAGGAGTGAGTTTTTATTTTAAAATTACTACATGATTTTATTATTATAATTGTAGTAACTCTCATTATTCAATACTAACTAAATGTTATGTTAAATTTACTTGAAATACCTCATATTTTAATAATATTTCGAATGCATAACTGTTATACAGATAATTTTGTGTAATATTATACTCGAAGGGAAAATGTAATAATATGTAAATTATGGTAATAATTTTACTTGTAAGACAAGTTTTATTTATTAAATTTTTTAAAAAAGTAGCTATACTAATAAAATATTTAAAATTTTTTAAAATGCATTAAAAAAACATAATATAATTTTACATAATAAAAAACTTGTAATATTTTTCTATATATTTAATTTCGAATAAATAAACTTCATATATAGGCCTATGCTGTAATATTGTGCATTTATGCGAAAAATAAATTTTTTATTGTATAAATTTAACAATTACATACGTTCTGATATAATTAGACCATAACGCATTTAATAGCCCTTAAAAAATATTTTTGTATAATATTATGTGATGGCCTTCCAGAACTCATAATCCTCGTATAATTTTACCATACATGTTCATACATAAATCAAAAATAAAGAGTGCAGTAACTAAGAGTGCTCAGTATTTTTTTTTTTTACATAATGTTATTTTATAATATTAAGCAAAATTCAAAATGAATTGAAAATAGAGTTGACCGTGTCAAATCTATGATACCCGTACGAATTTGCTATTCTATGTGCGAATTAATATGTCATAGCTGACTATGGAACAGACTATAACTTTGAGTTACCATATTGATTTATACAAAATTTCCGTACATTTATGTTTTCAATATTTTCTAAGATATGGCCAAACTACTATTGAAGTTGGATGTCAGCTACCAGAAAGATCCAAGCAATTTCAACGAATTTTATCAAACATATCGGCTCAACAACTATATTCGCTTGTGTATGAAATTTCAATATCACAGCTTTTATAGTTTTTGAGATATAGTCAAATTAATCTTAAAGTTGTACGGCAAGTACCCGAACCATTACCCCGATCATAACCACTTTGAATAAGGTTCTGCCGTTTACTATAATAAATCATTTGTAAAAATTTGGTGAACTTAGCTCAATTAATTTTTGAGTTATTGTTGGAACGAACGAACAGAATTCGACACTGATCAAAAACATTCAATGGTCTAAGACTATTATTTCTTAGCATTACAAACGGTAAGGCAAATTTAGTACACCCTTCGAACATACGTTCCTACGGGTATAAAAATAATGTACGAGTATTCAAGATGACATACACCTAAAATATTTGAAATTTTTAAAATTTTTTTAATTAAAAATAAATTCATGGTTTAAGTTCATAAATTATGGTCAATAAGCTGTAGATCAAGTACATACCGGTAACTTTATTAGAAAAATTAAGAATTCAAGTAATCACATCACAATTAACATAAAAAAAACGTGGCTAGTTTTATTTAAAATAATTTTGTTTAATATAAATATATATATGTATACATATAATGTAAAGCTTAATAGCCTAATTATAATAAAAACAAATTGACTAGATGGAGCAAATACTTGGCAAATACAATTCATTAAAAAAAAATTAACTGAAATTCAATGCAAGCAACTTAACCTATATAAAATTTTTAAAATTAATACAACGTAGCTAGTATGTGCGGGTTCTGAAAACTTTGAAAATATTCAAATTCAAAAATTTCAATAAAAAAATTATTTTCTACGAAAATGAAGAAAAATAATTTTTACAATAAATTCCATGACTTTTTAACCATATCAGCTCCTTTTTCACCAATCATTAATGCTATCGAATTAGTATGAGCAGCTGGTAATACTGGTATTATTGAAGCATCAACAACACGTAAATTTTTTATACCATAAACTTTTAATTCTGAATCAACAACAGCTTCTCGATCAGTCTTTGGTCCCATTTTACATGTTCCAACTTGATGTTGTAAGCTTATTGCATGACGTCTTATACAACATTTCCAATAAGAATCTGAATCAAATTTTTCATTTTCACATCCATAATATGGCTTTCTATGGAATCTGGTACCAAATTTTTTAAAATGTTTTGATTCCGAAATTTTAATTGCCTGCAAAACAAAAACATTTCAAAAAAAAATTTTTTTTTAAATTCAAATTTCATATAAAATTTTATTACTAATCTGATTCCTTTAGTTAAAGTTTCAATTTCTTCTGGATATTGAAAATAATTTGCGACTAATTTCGGTGAACTAAAAGGATTTTTATTCTTTAGTGTTATTCGACCTCGACTTTTAGTATTTAAAAGTACTGGAACCAATCCGAATGCATGCTGTAGAAAATTTGAAATTTTAAATATAAAAATTTCTGGTTCATTTCGAAAGTATTGTGTTCAAACCTCTCCATAAATATCGCTATAAGTATTTTGAACAAATTTTTTTGTTAATCCTAATAAATTTCTTAAAGCTCCGACTCTATCATTATTAAGACCTCCATTACCAAGAACAATTTCCAAATCTGAATAGTCTTCATCTGTAATAGAGAAGGGAACCATTTTGGTGATTTATAAATACTATAAAACAAGACAAAAAATTACCAACAGTAGAATTTTCAGTTCTAACAAAACAATAAGCTTCTGCACCACCAGGTAATGTGTATATTCCTTCTCCCCTAAATAAATATTGAAATATTGCACTAGGTCTCATTATTTTACTTGTAACAATCGTAACATCACTATTAACTAAAAAAGTTAATCCAGGTAAAGATATGTGATCTTGTAAATTATAACCAACTTTTAAATCTTCAATCAGTGAAATATTTAATTCGTTCAAATGTTCTTTTGGTCCAATACCAGATAACATTAACAATTGTGGTGACCCGACAACTCCAGCTGCTAAAATAACTTCTTTTTTAGCTCTTACCACATACAATTTCTTATCTTTTATTAAAGCAACACCTTCTACAATCTTAGTTTTATTATTTATTAATAATTTCACTACCATCGAATTCATTGAGATATCTAAATTTTTTCGATTTGTTATTGGTTCAATAAAAGCTTTACCAGCACTACAACGTCTGCCATCTCTTATATTAGCCTGAATTCTACTAAAACCAAGTATATTTTTACCATTTGGATCCGATATATTATAGCCTAAATCATAACCGGTTTTTAAAAATGCATTTACTAATTGCGATTTATATGGTGGATAAGTTACATCCATATATCCATTATGGCCATGATATAATGAATTATTAAGTTCTGGAATTCTTATAATTTCTGATTTCTTAAAATATGGTAAAATATTATCGTAATCCCAACCATAATTTCCTAATTTAGACCATAAATCAAAATCTTTTCGATGACCACGATTATAAACCATGAAATTAACAAGACTTGTACCACCAATACCTTTACCTTTAGGCCAACTACAAACACCACCAGTATGACCATGACAAGCATTCTTTTCCGGTTCAGTTTTATATCCCCAGTTATAATGTGTAATTGATGTAAATGCTGCCGTTAATGGTATTTGATTAACAAGAGATTCTTGCCCTCCAGCTTCAATTAATAAAACTGAGATTTTAGATATTTCAGTTAATCTGTTTGCCATTACACTTCCACCAGAACCAGAACCAATTACAATAAAATCATATTCCTTACGAAAATTATCACCAACATCTGGTATTTCTGAAGATAAAATTTGTTGTTGTGTCAACATTATCTCTGATGCTATCAAAACAAATAATATTAACAACAATTTAGTAGCAATCATCTTCAAAATAATCTTAAAAATAATAAACTAAAAAAAAAAAGTAAAAAATGTACTTGTTGTCAATATGGTTCAATGATTACTACTGATTATTATGTTCAAGTTGCACCAAAAATTCATAATCATCCAAAACAAGTTTAATTTTGGTGGTCAAAAAAATTTTTTTTTTTTGGTAAACTTGAAATTTACACAATATCTTGCCATTTTATTACAATGTTATTCATTTTTATATTTATAACGGTTGACATAACTGACGTAACTATGTGTACGAAACAAAGCAATATGCAATCCTCAAATATGATTCTCTTCTAGGAAAATTCAGTTCAAATTTTCGAAAAATAGTCGGTAATTAAAACTTAATCAATAACTCCTTCTTATACTGATAAGGAAGCGGTTTGAAAATTCGACTGTCAATATGACAAAAAGTCGTCTTTAATGGCGTCAAAAAGTGGATTAAGTTTGAGATTCAAACAAATCATTCTTTTTAATGAGATGTCACCTCATAGTATTGACTTCAAAATGTAAAACATTGTCTATTGAATACACTGCTGTACAGAGCCACAGTTATAAACAGTATACTTTATTCTATATGGAAAAGAAACTTTGAAACTTGAAAAGCTGGAAATTAGTTTTGACGTAAGGAACGATTGCTTGCTTATACTTTGTTTTTTGCTGAATTTTTATTGTGTTTTCACAATTAGCGCTGTGAAACCGATTCACTTCATAACGGCAAGCCGCTTATTGCCGAGAGGTTTACGGCGGCCTTGTGGACGTGTAGGAGCTTCATCGGGGGGACCTGGGGAATCAGTCCCAGGATAGCACTGTAGCTATACGGCCCTTGCTAGGCCCATCGTCACCTATGCCTCGATCGTATGGTGCCGTAAGGCTCAGCAGGCAGATGTGCAGGCCAAGCTGGAAAAAGCTACAGAGGCTGGCCTGTCTGTGAGTGATCGGGACAATGCGGACGGCTCCTACCGCTGCATTGAAGGTGATGATCGGGTTGCCGCCACTGCACCTCCATATATTGAAAGAAGCTCGGCTAGTGACTTACCGACTTCTCTCTGGCGAGGACAGGGCAGGGCTAAAGTTGACGAATAGGACTCACAGAGACTTCATTGAGAGCGATCCGCTTCTAAGAATAACCATGTCAGATACCTGTCTGCCGCGGCACAACTTCGACCACAAGTACGGGATTCTTTTTTAACTTAATGGAAATTTCTTCATGCAACTGCAGAACAGATAGATGACGTAATCAAAGGAACGAGTTAAAGGCAGAAAAATTAATTAAAAAAATTTTTCTCCTCGGACTGGACTCGAACCAGTGACCTACCGCTTTCTAGGCGGACGCTCTACCAACTGAGCTACAGAGGCATGAAGAAATTGCCGACGAAATGTTCTCTACATTGCTTATACTGTAATTCACATGATTACTAAGTATTTGTTTTGTTTACATTGATTGCTACATACAATCTACTATTGAAACACACAATAACAAGAACATATATATATTTATAGGATTGTGCCTATTGCACTAATTAAATTATGAATTATACTAATACAACATCATAGTTGCGAATTAATAAGAATGTGCTTATTACACTACTAATTTAACTTAATGGAAATTTCTTCATGCAACTGCAGAACAGATGGATGACGTAATCAAAGGAACGAAAGAAATAAAAAAAAAAAAAATTAATTAATTAATTAATTAGCAGAAAAATTAATTAATTAAAAAAAATTTTTCTCCTCGGACAGGATTCTGTTTCCCGATTGATAGACGTGGGATCGGGGTGGCCCGCTACTTGAGTCGGGTTCGAGCGTGTGGTATGCGAACGGGTCCAAAACGAAGTCGGGTGTGGGTTCGGGTGTATACGGTGTCCGCCCGGACACGCATGTATATGCAACCCTTGACGTATTCCACGGTGTTCCAGGCCGAAATACATGCAATAGAGATCTGTCTGAGAATCAATTTAGAAAGGGGGTATAGAAACCGCACCATCTATGTGTTCTCGGACAGCAGGGCTGCACTGCTAGCGCTTCGTTCAGCTCAGGTTATATCCAAGCTGGTCTGGGGCTGCCTTGCTGCACTTATGGAATTGGCATCGGAGAACAAAGTCGCGCTCATTTGGGTGCCGGGCCATAGTGGCCATTCGGACAACGAAATTACCGATGAGCTGGCGCGGAGGGGATCTGGGGCTGACTTTGTGCAGCCGCTGCCTTTCTGCGGTCTGCCTTCTTCCGCCGTGGGGGCCAGGCTTGCCTGCCTGCTCGCGGCGGAATGCGGCCGTCACTGGCGGGACACGAAAGGGTGCCGTCATGCGAAGATGTTTCTTTTGGCGTGCTCCAACGGATTCATCGCAGAGTTGCTGGGGATGAGCAGGAGCCGTGTTCGCAATATTGCGAATTTCTTCACGGGGCACTGCCCAGTGAAGTACCACCTGCATAGGCTGGGGAAGTCGGGCTCCCCCTGTGCAGATTTTGTGGGGGTGGCGATGAGACCGCCGTGCACATTCTCTGCGACTGTCCGGCACTGGCTGTTCGGCGCCGCACATGGGCCCCTAAGTGTTTGGGAACTGTTGTCCAACTCCCTTAGGGATATCTCCGGCTTTGTGGTTGGGACGGGTATATTATAGGCGGGAGCGTGGGGAGGCTACAATAAGTCAAGAATGGCTGCGGTGGCTTGGAGGGTTACTCCTGTCCCACTCGGTTCCCTTGAAATCTACAATCTACAATGCAATCATTCGCAGTTTAATGCAGTCTTCTTCATTTCTCTAAAATTTGGAGAATATTAATTCACACCCATTAATATGGTAAAACACTATTTTAAAGCTCATCATGAAAATCTGTATAACATGCCAATCCATGGTTTACCGAAAAACTTTACATGATTCCATACGGATTTTTTTCTTTAAACTTTCAATTTACTTAAAGAATAAAGAAAGTTATGGAGGGAATTTTGTTTTTCTACTTTTACTTAATATTTACTTTATATTTTAGCACCAAAAAATTATTGGATTGTGTAATAAAAAACACTTGCACTTTTATTATCAGAAATAAAAAAAAGTTAGTGCTACTGTTTTCTTTTTCAATTACGGGTGAGTGAAGAAGTTTACGGGTGCACACGATAAATGTAAAATTTAAGAATGCACCATACATGAGTTCTTGGATCTTTCAATATTTTTTCATCTCTCAAAAATTTCAAAATCTTTGATATCGTAATATTTAAAATCTTTAATGAAACAAAATTATTTTGTTAGGAGTTCGATAAATTTTGGTTTGAATGAGAACTCAGAGTTGACATAGGAATAGGGAAGAGCATTAACACTTTATCACTTATTCATTTTTCTCTAGCAGGTGGTTTATGTATTGTAAACCTATAGCCAAATCAATTCACAATACAATTTCATTCAAATAAATTTTTTCATAAAATTTCATTGATATTTTAATTGCGAAATGAAATCAGCAGTCATAACCTGGAAGAATTGTTTCACATTGTCACAAATTACTCACTTTTTATGTAAGCATATATTCTAATTAATTGCACTTGAACTTGATCTACTTCATATTATAAAATAAGATTCACATAAATTACAACACATTAAGAAATTGCATTCAAAAATAAATTCACTTTATTTTATGTTGAAAAAAAAACGTTATTAAATTTTTTTACAACCTTTTGTCCATTGAAAAATTTTAAGTCAATGAGAACAGGTTCGAAATTGTAAAGAAAATTTTTTATTTTTATAATTTTTTATACATGGACGATTTTTATCAGAGATTTTTATTAACTTTTGTTTCAATTGCATTGCAATGTTCTGCCATTTTAAATGAGCACGTTTTTATCATAATTATAAGTTGAAAATACATAAATAAGTACGTATAACCATGTGTTTATAACATTTTTGTATGTTAAAATGTGTTCTACGAGCATGTATTCGAAAATTGAATTCGGATCTAAATAATTATAAGAATAAAAAGCAAGAATAATTGATTACTTGAAAGGTAAGCGCTTGATATAGTTACTATATTCGCTGTATAGCTCTATGCTGTACGAGCTTTATACTGTGTAGAATGAGCTTTAGGAAAAGCGGGTAATTTAGCGGTAGTTTTTGCAAAGGATAACGTTGCTAAAATACAGTAAATAGTCAATATTGATCTATGTTACATTGAACGTTGAATGAACATGCAGAAACTCATTGTAAATCTCTCAAAAGCATATGCTCAAAAAACAAAACATTTTTGTCAAATCTCGAGAAATAGGTCTAAAATTACTATCGAAACATCCTGATAAAAAAATACCTTTGTAATATATCTTTTAGATAAGAAATACCTTAGTATTTCTCTAATAAACTACAACTTGGTCCTGGGGCCGTGGTCTTCTATACGGATGGATCCAAAACAAATGAAGGGGTGGGCGTGGGTGTGTACGTAGAGTTGTGTGCTCAGGAATGTATCAGGAGGAACATTAGAAGGAGCAGGATTTTTATTATATGTCGGAGAGTAGGGCTGTTCTTGGGACCCTCTTGTCTGATGTAGTGGGATCCAGGCTGCTGAAAGAAAGAATTGACACCCTTGGCATCCTGGCCAGGCACAACAAAGTAACCTTTATGTGGGTGCCGGGACACAACGGAATGGATGGGAACGAGAGAGCTGACGGTCTTGCAGGGAGGGAGCGGCGGCTCCCTTCATTAGGTCGGAACCATGCTTTGGGGTGCCCAAGACAACGGTCTTGCGTGCCCTCAGTGAATGCGAGGAGCGGGCTAGAGTTGAACACTGGGATAGCGGCCTGGGCCCTGGGACTGGGGGACAGGGTCTGACCATGCTCAGTCGTCCAAATTTGAGGACAATAGTGGGGGTTCTCACTGGTCATTGCCTCTCGAGGGTCCACCTGAAAAAGATGGGCAGGGTGGCGGATGAGGTTTGCCGTTTATACCTGGAGGAGGACGAAA